TCCATGATGTCCCTTCCCCCAGCAAATGTGAAGTCTACCTCTATGCTGACGACACTGCACTTGTCGCCCAGTCGTGTACTGGTGATCTGGTTCACGATGGGTTGCAGAAAGCGGTGGACGAAGTTCTAGAGTGGGCGGAACGGTGGCTGATAAAAATTAATCATTCGAAAACGCAGGCTATTTATTGTACCAAAAAACGTCGCGGCCCCCCAGCAGAGGTTTCTGTAGACGGAAATCGTGTACCATGGACAAATTCTGCCAAGTATCTCGGTGTCACCCTTGATAAAGGCATGACCTGGCAGAAACATACAGCATCCATAAAAACAAAATTCCAAATTGCGTTTCGGCAACTATATCCTTTGTTATGTAGATCGTCCAAATTGAGTTTGATAAACTAAGTTCGACTATATAAACTGATTATTAGACTAGCCATTACTTATGCATGTGCGGCTTGGTGTTTTCTTGCCAAGTCACATATGCAAAGTCTTCAAGTACTGCAAAGCAGAACTTTGCGGACAATTTGCAACGCTCCATGGTATGTCTCAAATGAGACACTACACAGAGACCTTGACATTCCTTACTTGAGGGATTATGTCAAGCTTCAGGCGCAGCGACGTTATAGTCAAGCGGAATCGCACAGCAACCCTCTGTTGCGTGACTCAGTGGACTACACAGTGGAGCAAGTTCGTAAACATTCAAGGCCACGGCTCGCGCTGTAATCAAAAGTTATCGTGAATTTTTAGTAAACTCAAAATTACACTCTAACAAAACCGAATCAAAAAATTTGTTTAGTTCACCTCAAAATTAATCCGTGTACCAAGTCAAAAAGCCTAGGTGTTTCCTCTTAAACTAAGCATATCTGTTTTTCTTTGTTCTTCTCCTTTTTTTCTTCTCTTTCCCTTTCTCTTTTTCCCTGACTTTGTCTGGTTTCTGGGCAACCAGGACTGACAGATTCGACTAACGTACATCAGACAGTGACTAATGGGCAAAGGTCCTACGGACCGCCCAGACAAATAAATGACGAATAGTACGCTCAACTTTCCGTAACAAGCACAACGCTCTGAAAATTGATTGTATTTCATACGCGAATAAAGATATGAAAATAGCATAGGAACAACTTTTGTAGCCTATTCATCATGATACAAAATTGTCTTAACAGTTTTTTTCTATATTTAGGCAACTAATAAGAAATTGCACATCAACATTGCTAGTTTTTCTCTACAAATTGGCATAATTAGAATTTTAATATGACGTTTCGTCTTTTGTCCTCCAGCATAACCTTTTTTATAGACTCCAGATTGGATTTTTTATCTTTGCTTATTTATGATTATTATTGTTACTACCTGCAATCAAATTTTTATTTTGTACTGAGATTTCACCATACCTCTATTTACTTATAATTTCTATCGAATAGCATTGCCACAAAACGTCATATTGAAATTATGAATATGCCATCTTGTAGACGAGAAAAAGTGTAATTTACTTTTAAATCCCACAACTAATAAAATCTGGAAAAACTAAGACAATTTGGAGAAAATTCGTTTCTTTCCGTCTGTCTCCAGAAGCACTTTGAATTTAGAAGCTTTCTAAGCGGCTTTTGTTAGTACGGAACTTTCCATTTAAGATACTTCGTGTGTCTTACCATTTTCGAGATCCCAATGGTAAGGGTCGAATTTGAAACACCCAGTATATAGTATTTACAGGACCGTAACAAAAAATCAAAGATTTTTCGAAGTTTTTATAGTACCTGCCTACCCCAGCATCCAAAACCTTACGTTATGCTAATGAAGATTGAAGTCACCTAAATCCAAATTTTCATTCATTATAAAATGTTTGCAAGATTTTGGGTATATTTTTGTGTTCCCTTACCGGGCTATTATATTGGCTCAACTACAAAAAATAGTCATTCGAGAACACGTGTGTCGACCTAATTGAGAAAAGCACAGAAAAGGTCGTTACCACATTCTGCTCCAGGAAAAAGTATCCTTGTAATTGTCTTTTTTCTTAGGTAAATTGCTTTGTATACCGTCTGGTCGCCATTTGTTCTTGAGCCACAGTTTCAGCTTTTCGTTGTTTTCTGAGCGAAAATAAATGTACAAATTGCGATTCAGATTGCCTCGTTATCCGTTTCTCAGACAAAGACATTCCACAAGAGCCAACATGAAAATTGTTGATAGAGCGACATCGTAGGCCTCACTAAGAGACGCATGTACTCTTCTATAAATTAGAATTTTGTTCTCAATATCTTATTATAGTTGTCATATCACTTTAAAATTTAATTTCAATGGTAATACCGCTGATACTTTATTGGAACAAAATATTTTCCAGCGTCTAGGTTTCTTTGCATCTCTTTGGAAATCAATAGACCTACCTGAATCTCTTCTGACTTGAATCATTTTGTATCCCCATCGATTAAAATAGTAAGATTTACTGAAAACAGGCGTCAAGTAGATTGACTCTGCACACTTTCCACGTCATCACTTTTAAAGTATGTTCACCCTCTAGAGTAAGGTCCTGATGGGGCCAATTATTTGAAATATAATTCAGTGGGAACCTTTCAATTGTTTTCGGTTTCCTTTTTTTGATGTGTACACCTATTGACCAGTCAGTCTACTAATATTCCGGTAAGCACCCACAAACCTTTACATGTATGCTGAGTATTGCTGAACTGAAGAAAAAATAAGATCATTTTACAGGGTGTTCCTTAATGATATGCGAATATATAAGGGTGTGAATATGGTCCAAAAATGTTTCCTTACAAAAACTCGGGGTGCTGAAGTTTCAGGAAAAAAAAATTGAAATTAATTAATATTTTCAGAACCGCTTTAGATATTTCACTGATATTTAGTACGTAGTGAAAGGTGATAAAGTAGCATATTTTTCAATGCAAAAATAATTTCTAGCTTTAACAGTGGCATGCGTACGGGTATTTTTTAAGAAAAAAATAGAACGCCAATGGTTTTTTGTCAAATATAAATTTTTTTTAATTCCCCGTTGAATTTAAAACAAATTATCTCTCTTGAATTGTTTTCTTTCGATGCGCCATTGTTGAGTAAACTATAAAAACCATTCCATTGTCTAACTTGGAAAATTGTTATTAATTTAATTGGAAAATTAAACACATTAGGGGTAATGAACAACAACAACTGACAACATAAACATAACACTGAAACCAACGAAATGATTACAAAAATTTTTGAAAATGGCCCCCTTCACTTAGTATGCCTGCTTCCGCCCTCCTTCTCATGGAATTGCGCACTTGTTGAAATATCCCTGGAGTGTTTTTTATTCTCTCACAAGCTGCAACTATTCTTTCTCTTAATTTATCTAGAATGTTAATGGGACTTGTGTACCCTAGTGTCTTAAGATAGCCACACAAAAAGAAATCTAAACTGTTGAGGTCTGGGGACCTTGGTGGCCATTCTTGGGGCCCACCGCGGCCAATCCAACGATTTGGATAAGCAGTACACATATTGTTTCTTATTACTAATGGAACATCATCAAACAGCAAAGGCAACTGTTGTTTAAGAAAATTGAAGTAAGTCTGTCCGTCAAGTCGTCCCGGCAAGAAGAATGGGCCAATCAAGTGGTTGTCAATAATTCCTGCCCATACGTTATTCGGAAATTGGTGTTAGAAATGGGTTTCGGTTACGGATTTTCTTCTGGCCACAAATGATTATTGTAAAAATTCTGAATGGCATTTCGAGAAAAATTAGCTTCGTCCGTGAATAGAATGATTGATACAAATTTGCGGATTTTGTGTAATTTTTTGAAGATACCACTGACAAAAAGGTCACACGCCTTGGAAAATCAATGGGAAGTAATGCCCGTACTCTTAAAATATGGTAAGGTTATACAAAAAATCCACTAAAATTCGCCAAACAATTTGATAGCAAATATTTAAGTGTCTATCGATCTTCCTCGTACTCGTTGCATGATGTTCTTCGACATCGTGCAGCACTGCTTCCTCAATTTCAGGTGTTCTCACACTTAGAGGTCTGCCTTCAGATGTTCCTTTTCAGACACAACCAGTTTCAACAAGACGATGATGAATATCAGAAAAGGTTCGACTATCTTGCAAAGCACGATCGGGATATGTCTGGTGATAAATCCGTCTGGCTTGTTCACCATTACCGTCGGCAAGGCCATATACGTAACGCATTTCCGCCATTTCTGCATTTGAATATTTCACCATTATTAAGATTGTAAAATCTTAATAATGAAAAAGATGTCACAGAGAACAGATTTGAATAACAGAGACTTGTCAGATGTCAAAAGCCAGTGACATATTCCAGAGCAACTAGATATTTATTGCTCAATTGCATTCTTCAATTATTACATTAATTTTTTCGGACAATAGAACGGTTTTTTACTCAAAAATGGCGCATCGAAGGAAAACAATTTAAGATAGAAATAATTTTTATTAGGCAAAAGACCATGGGCGTACCATTTTTTTCTTAAAAAATATCGAAGTCAATACCCACTGTTGAAGCTAAAAATTATTTTTGCATTGGAAAATATGCAACTTTATTAACTTTCACTACATATCAAATATCAGTGAAATATCTGAAGCTGTTCTGAAAATATTAATTAATTTCCATTTTTTTTTCTAAAACTTCACTCCCCGAGTTTTTGTAAAATCAGTAGTATTAGCAACTATGATCTAAAGTAGCAACAGAAACGTTAACCTAGCGCCTACTTATACTCAACCTAGACTCGCAACCGATGCAGGAGCCTCTGGCCCCCAGTCTGACCAGATAATCTGCTCTCTCACCATCCGGATCTCCACTGTGTCCGAAAATGCAAAACAGAGTTATTTCTATGAATCAGGTTGAGCTATGAAGAGCAGCAATGGATTCCTGAACCAGAAGACAACTTCTTATAGATATTTTTACATTGAGATAGAAAATCTCTTCGTTGGCCACATCTTTGTAAGATGAGTCCAGTAGATTGACTAGTTGTTGCATATAGCTGTCTTGTGGTCTAGACAATGTGACAGAAATGCGTGTCACATCGTGTCACATTAACATGTCATACTAATGTTATACAAGGTTATACACCTCAGAAGTATTAGGAATTAAGATAAAATGACTGTAAACTTGAAGGACATTTTAGAAAAGTTAGGATGGGATGACGGTTTCCAGATTCCCATCGCCAATGATGAAAACAAGGAGCTAGAGCAGGAGTTGGCTAGATTAACTTTGAGGAAGACTAAGGCAAAAGCCTTGTTTGATAATGTTGGCGGACGGCTAGAAGCATTGAAGGAGAATTTCAAGTATGTTGGGCAAGAAAATGAACAAACTCAAAGACTGATCAGTGCACATAAGCAGCAGTATGACGCAGTGCAGAATCAGTACCACCTCTTCAAAGCTGAAGATGAGAATACCAGAATGTCGATCAAGAAGATAGCGAAGCAACTCTCTGACGCAGAGCGAATGGAGGAATCAAAGAAGGCTGATTTGAGGAAAAGCATTGCCAAAGCTGACCAGCTTAAAGCAGAAATGGAATGGGATACTGAAGCACTCAAAGGATGGGAAGAGGCGCTCAGAAAACGGGACGACGATAATGGAATACTGAAGAAGTTCTCCCGAGAAGACGAAATGAGATACAATGAGCTCGAAGCAAGGCGTCTGATTCTCCAAAGCGAGTGTCTTACCAAGAGAGAGACAGTAAAAAGAATTGCAGCTGAAAGTCACAGTTACGAAATGGTTATTGATAGGTCAGGGAAAGCTATAAAACAACAAATGGCCGATCGGGAATCATTGATTCACCAGTGGAAGGATGCGGTGAAGATGTTGCAACAAAGAGATGTGGACATTTTTCGTGCCCAGGAACAGATCCAAGCAGAGTACGAAGCCATAGCGAAGCAGGAAGTCGTACTGGAGGAAGAACACAACTTTCTCAACAACCAGAAACGAGTCAATCATGAAATAGAACTGGAGATCCAAAGCATCAACAGCACGAACTGCAGAATGAGGAGGGAACTGGGAGAGCTTGCGCAGGTCATCTTGTTAATGAACAACGATGTAAGTAACAACACCAACCAACCTCAAAATTAGTTTTCTAGATTAAGACCTTCTTAATACCGCCTAGGTATGTCTAACTAAAATACTCCATCCCCTTTGCTATTTTTCTTACTTATATAAAATTTGTTCCGTTCTTTCTCCCTTTCTTTGTCTGGTATCTAGAATATGATATGAATTTTCAGATTTCTTAATCGATTTTCTAATTTTTGTAGAACCTTTTGGGAATCGGTTACATAGTATGATTGGTATGAGCAGTATTGAAACAGTTTATCAAAATCAAACAAAAATAAACGTTTTTTTACTAAATTGACACTATTTTTTTCAAGGTAGAAAATGACAATGAAACCTCGAATAACGATGGACGAGTTTCTGAAGTTGTAATATTTTATTACAACTAAATCGTTAATATTTTGTTTTTTTACAGCATGACACATTAAAACGAAGAATCGTTCAATCAGCTCAACATCTGGAAAATGCGAGGCTGAAAGGAAAAAGGTTGGCTGAAAGAGCAGCAGAAATGGAACGCATTTGTAGCAAATTCAAAGAAGAACGGCAAGAGTTACTTCGGAAACAACGCGACGTCGACGAAATGACATCTTCGACTAAAGAACGATTAAAAAAACTTGAACAGATGATAGACAACGAAGAAAGATTGTACACCATCTATGTCTCTGATACTGAGAAGATCAATTGCACTGTATTCAGAACAGAGAGGTTTTTGAAGGAGGAGAAGGAGATCGCAAAATCCGTCGAAATTGAGCTCAATAATATAATGTGCAATTGCCACCAGTTACGGAAGTATATTAGCTCTTTGACTAAAGATTTGGATAAAATCAGGGAGGTTGTATACGATATGGACTTTAGAATTGATGATATAGAAAGAAAGTTGTGTGGCATGCTAGAAGAAGATAGTCAAGAAGATGACGAAAAGAAAGACACTTTGAACAAACAAATTCGGAAAATGGAAGAAACTTTAGCTGATCAGAAAGAGGTCCAGCGTGTCTTACAAGCTCAGGTAGACCGCCTTCAAGAAGAAATGCGGAGTCTGACTAACTATATAGCACAGGATAAGGAAATGGTTCTTACTCTAGAGAACCGATGTGAAAATTTTGAACTGGAATTCGGGAATGGGAAGAAACAGATTGCAGCAGCCAAGCAAGCTACTCAAGAGAAACAAGTTGAAGAAAATATGATGTTGCTAAGGATAGACCAATTGGAAAATGAAAAGAAGAAAGAGGAGAAACATATATTTAGTTTAGAGACGCTTCGACTTAGCCTAGACCAGGCGATACAAGAAAGGCAGATAGAAATTGACACGAAGCAGACAGTGATGTTGGCAAAAAGAAGAAACTTGGACGAAGAAAGGGGTAGGCTTCGAGCTGATGTCGCTTTAGTCAGAGTAAAGATTGAGCATATAAAGAAAAAGTATCACGTTGCATGCGGTAACTTGGGAAGAGATGAAGACGGCAATCCATTGACTGTTGCTCATTTTAGAATAAGAAACGCTCAGGAAAAGTTCATGCTTCAACAGCAAGGAGACGATCTCGACAAGAAGATCCGAACTGCCGAAAAGGAAATCACAGCTTTGGAAAATACCCTAAAGATAGTGAATCTGACGAATAGATCTTTCAGAAACAGCTTGGCGAGCATTAAAGAGGATGATGAAAAAACAATAGAGATGAAAGAACTAGAAGAAACTCACAGAGTATTAAATCAACACGTAAAAACGGTAAGACGACAGGTAGAAGACAAGATCGGTAAATTAAAAGACACTCAAAACCGTTTATTAGCTGTCCAAAAGGCAACGGAAGAACGCCAAAATTCTGTAACACAATTAGAAGAAGAGATTGAGATGGTCAGAAGACAAGAATTCGAAAAAACAACAATGCTCAAGAGGGCAGATTTTGCTATTAAAAGAAACTTGAGAAAAATAGGAAAGATTGACATCACCAAATATCATAGAGATTTCGAGATCAGACAACTCCAAGACGTCAACAAGCAAGTGACAAATGCATTGTACGACTTGTCACTGGATTTTAGTGAGATGGCACCACAGGTCCACCTTTACACTGGGGAGTATAGAATCAAACTACCGGCGATCAGAAAACCTCCAAGCAGTCAATCATCTCTTTCAACTTTGAGCAATTGCTCATCTTCGAGAGTTGTTTCAACTTCCACTTATGAAGTGAGCACATCAGTGTCAGTATCAACAGTTAACTTATCGTTTGGTTCATGAAGACATATTTTTTGAAGATGGAAAAATTATGAATATTCAATAAATGTAGTTCATTCTTTTTTTAATTCATTTTCCAACGCATAAAAGATAGTTTAATCATACTAGCAAATTTCCCCGAAATAATTGTAAAGTCTGGTTTTATTGGCGCAAGTTGTTCAAGGAGGTATTTAAAACATGGACGTATAAAACGGGTACACCAATTTTTGTAGGAAAACTTTTTATTTGATAACAAAGAATGCGAAAACGTGTTTTTTTGGGTTCAATCTAAAGTGTTGACAGGAACGGAAAAACTTTTCGTATAAGATTTTTTGGTATTCATGAGACCTAGAAAATGGCAAAATGCAGGTTTTGGCACTTGTTGGTAATGCAATGATGGTTTCTCGCAGATACTTACGTCCCAAACGGTTTCATTGTTTTCTATTACTGCAGCCGGGTTTATTTGTATTTATTAAACATGTACTTAGTGCTTGGAGTATTTCTTGCCTTATTAAGATTCCCACTGCTAATGTAACATCTATTATTGTGCTTGTTTCGTTGATGAATCTCAACTCTACAAATAAAATAGCACACCCGCTAAAAATAACTTTATTTGAATAAAATTTTGCATACCGTTAATGAGCAAGGGCATCGTATCTCACACAAGCTCATGCGCTGGATCTAGAAGACCTTAGCGCATGTTATCGGAAAACGGTGTTTCTATTTCCTTCACTATCACATCATAAAGCACTTCATGCATTTTAAAATCTGTGACATGAATTTTTAGTACCTAAGGCGTCGCGTGTGTCATGTCTGATCTATCCTATTTTAACATATGTATGATGCTCCTGGTTTTTTTATAAAGAATTTATACTAAAAGTAATCTTTCGCTTCATTTTTTAAAGCTTTAGGCGGTAGACTGAGATGCTAGCTTACCGACTAAAACTAATTACTGTACAGAGTGACTCAGAAAAACGTGGCAATATTTCCAGGGTAGAAATTACATAGAAAATATTTAAAGTGGTGAATAGGATTACTCACCTACAGTATATTCAGATAAGAGATAGACCGGACATAAACAAGACCACGTGATCATCGAACGCTGTAACATTCGGCAGGGACGTATTAAGAGTCACGCAGTACATATTTTAGATAGTAGATGCTGCTTTGCGTAACTTTGTAGTAAATTAGCACAATTCGATGTGTATACGATTGGTGATGGATATAGGATCATGTGGGGGTGGTGTAAGAAATATATAATGATATAAATATACATAAGGGTTTCAAAATTTTCGCTTCGATTTCCAGCTTCGGATGCCGCCTGATGTTTGGTGAAATACAGTCGAATATAATCTCAAAATGGCGTTTAAATTAGCCTAAATTAAAAATAATCGTATATCTCTTAAAATTGCTTTTAGAATATTGATTAGTATATTTTTTGATTTCTAGGTAAATATGTAACCAAATTAAAACGTTCAAAACGTAAAAAAATGTGCATGGTTGAACATTGTCAGAAAGTAGATTCTTGAATAGGTTTTGCCAAAATGGGTTCAAAAATGTCAATAATTAATTAAAAAATACAGTAGCTTTATAATTACTTATAACTTACCGAATTTGATGAACAACATCTTTTATTGGAAAGATGAGCTTGATGAGCTTTCATCATCGCTACTGCCTGAAGCACCAATGTCAATAATGAATGGCTCGACTTGTTCCTCTAAAATATTGTCCAGTTCCCACATTCTCTTTTCAACTTTGTCTTTCACGTGCTTAATACAGTTTTCCCATTTTTGCGCTGTTATTAATTCTAGTGCTTCTTTGAAAAGTCCTTTGAGGTCACAAAATTTAAAAGTTGTATTGTGCTTAGCTATATAATTTTTAACCTCTGCCCATATGAGCTCAATGGGATTGAGCTCGCAATGGTATGGAGGTAAACGGAGCACAGTTTTATTTTGACTTGCTGCCATTTCGTCAATGGCGTATTTTTGATATTCCGCCTTGTGATCCTTGACAATTCTTAATAATTGTACTTTCAGCATTGCTTCTTCAAAGTTGATATTTTTCGAGCGGAGCCAATTTTGAACATCAACTTTCCTTGAAGCCGTTGTTGGGACCTTCTCCATTCGAGAATGATAAGGCGCATTATCCAACACAATTACTGCGTTTTCCTCCAAGTTCGGTAAAATTTTTGAAAACCACTGTTCAAACGATTCGCCATTCATTTCCTCGTGGTAATCTCCAGTTTTCTTAGACTCAAAGCACCACAGACCGTCAACAACAAATCCATCCTCACTGCCAATATGGCAAATAATGAGCCTTTTCCCTTTACCTGGAAACCGAAGTACTAACTGGTGTAGATTTATTTCAATAAGCGAACCTTTTTCAAATGTTTTCATCACATTCAGCGAAAAAACATTGAGACATGAGTATCAGATTGCTATAATTGGGATTATTTAGTCATATTGAAAGAAAGAATATTGAACGTCGTATGATTACTCAGCGCTTCACAATTTAATTTAAAGTTATAAACCTTTAAAAAATGAATGATCAGGAACCTGAAATACGCGCAAATATTAATATTAACAAATTATAACTTTATAAAGCTTAAAGTATGAATTAAAATGATTAGAAATATTAGGAACGGTACACAATATAAAACTTAGTAACTTTTTTTAAGTTTATAATATTCGACATATTTTAAGATTATATTAAAAAATTATTGAAATATCGAAAACACATAAAAACATGGCTTAAAAAAGTTCTAACACATGAAAATGACAATAAAACATCCACGCATTTTATCGAAAGTTATAAAAGTTTTGTTACTTGTAATATGTTTTATCTGCCCCCTGGAATTAATGTTAAGAACCTTGTTCCCAAGGTTTGAAAAATATCCGATTGTTGTCTATTACTCGTATTTACCTGCTGGATTTTTTAATCCGGTGGACAGTCCATCTAGAAAGGCCCTCCTGGATGAAGTTACAGAATCATCAACCCATACTTTACTTGTAGTGTGTCCTGCGTTTACCCACGTTTCATCAAGGTAATAAATCTTCCTGTTTTTATTTCTATATTTCCCAATTTTTGTTAAATAATCCCTCCTCCATAGCACAATTTCTTCTCTATCCAGTAGTAAACTATTACGACCCCGTTTTTTCCATTTGAAATTTAAATGCTTCAGTAACGCATGGAAAGTTGATCGTTTGAAATTTGGCAACGTTGTATCTCCATTTACCTCCTGCAGTACTTTATCTACAGTAGGTATTTCATTCCTAAAGAAGAATTCATGCACTTTCCTCCTAATCGCATGCTTATCAGCTTCATCCAATGATTTAACAATACTTTTGCGATGTTTACTGGTCATTGGCTCAGAAAAGGTGTGATTTTTTTTGTATTGTCTTAACGCATTAAACACTGATGCGCGACACACCCCAACTTTGTGAGAAACCTTCACAACAATTTCTTTGATGGTTGATGCCTCGTTCTCCTCGCGCTCGATCTTATATATATTCAAAATGACCTCTTTCATTTCTGCACTCAGGTGTCTTTTTTTAGAGCGTTTTCTAGGTGGACTACAGGAGTTTACAACTTCATCGGCAGTATCTGTACTACTGGGCATTTTGCGCAAGCAGTTGATAACAATAACAATCAATAACAAGGTATAACAATAACAACGACAAACTCAACAACTTAATAAGATAACAAACGAAAACGTCCAAAGAAATATCAAATTGCAATGATGCACACGACATACGTAACACGTCTGAACCTGAATGTGACTCTGCCTTGATACGACTGCTCTGCCGCTCGGCATAGGCATTTAATTGCGAATTGACCAATGAGGGCTCCTGTTTTACGTCGAGACGGCGGCGTTAGCGTGAAAATCACCCGAACCTTTTGTTTACATCCGGTCTATCTCTTATCTGACTATACTGTAATACACTATTTTTGTACAATTTTCAAATCATTATTTTGTTTTTTATGCGAGATAATGATACATTCAGAGTATAACTCACAGGGCGTCGCACTTAATAAAATAAAAGAAAATGAAAAAAACTTAACCGACCATATAATTTTGAATTCTCAAAGCATCTTTAGTTCAATTTTAAGTAGTATGTTGATGAAACCAAGTTCATGAAATATAAAATAAGATATATGAGTAAATGAAAAGTTTTGAAACAAAAGAGGCATACACAGTTTATGGTATTATGATTATTAATTAGCACCATTCATTTTTTGTACATACTCAAACATTTCAATGTTCAGCTTGAAAGATGAAGATTTTTATAAAAAAACATAAAGTTAAAAATCGAAATGGTGTTTTTAACCGTCAGTCTAGTTTGACGTTCGTCCTAGATCACGTTGTTATCTAGTTTACCAAATCGGGTCAATAGTGCATGAAATACGTGATAAAAGATCTAGGATGAATCATCCTACAGATCCGTAAGAACTGAATTTAGATATTTTTTTATTTTCAGATATGTAAAGGTCTCGTCTTCCTACGATTTCACTATCTCTATTCAAGTGCGGAGCACCGTGTAGTTAATGCCTATATTCCACTATCAGACCGAAGATGTTTTCCTTATTGTCCACCATCCGCGTGGCAATCTATTCAGTTCCTCCCAATATAAACTTCACTCCCGGCTAAAAGTGAGAGGCAGAAGCCTAATGGGTTCATCTCGCAGGCATTGAACGCAGTATACTAGCAGCAAAAAGTCTGGTGTTCAAAAAGCTTGAGACATAGTGCTCTTGGTATGGTAACCTGGGTTAGCCAGTGGCGTAGGAAATATTGTGATCGCAAATTTTTTTTTGGAAAAAATACCAGTCGTACAAAAAGAGCTCCACGGATATCTGACTTTTTTTCTGGAAAATTTCGAAATTGCGATATTATCCGCTATTCCTTGGCCTGTCTATAACTTCTAGAGTACCGCTCGGATTTTGGTGACGTTTTTTGCACAAGGTTACTACTATGTCAAGGATTGAACAGATTTGTACTTTTTGGAAATATGTCCAATGGCGGCGGAGCTACAGGCAGAAAGCGAAAAAAAAAAACGCTCAAACTTCGTGTTTTGACCTTTCAGAGGTTCCT